ATTGGTATTCCTCTCTGTCTTTCCCTCTCTCTAAAAATCAATGGAAAGATATCCTCAGGTGAGGATTAAAAAACAAACAAAAAATCCCACTGGTCTATGTTGTACTTGGAGTGGACCCATGCATGATTTTATGACACTGGTCACTGGGAAAACATTAATTTACTGTGTCCTGCAGACTTTCTAGATAGGGATACGTTTCATTTTACAATATGAAAAAATTCACATTCACTAGTATCACCATCAAGCTCGTCAGCAGAGTCTTTAAGTACTAGGACTCTGTCAAGTTCACGGTGGCAGACAAAAGTTTCTAAAACTCTAACTTTCACTCGAAAATTTCATTTTGTCACTGGCAACAGATGCTGTCAGTTGTTTTTCTTGAAGTGACTGGCCCACCTCGTTCATTTTCAAAACCGTGTCTGCCAAATACCCAGGTCTGAGTACTGATGTCTGCCAGTTGTTGGTTCAAGTTAAAACATGGAGCAGTTAATTCAGTTCTCAACTCAAACACCTGGACACGTGTTTTTCCTTCAAAATTCCCTGTTCAGCGAAGTGCTTTATACGTGTCTCCTCTTTTGTCACACCGACTATTAAAGACTCCAGGGTTTAGGTTTAATAAAATTAATCACTTTTGCTACACCATCAAGGACATACTAACACAAAGCTGGCATTTTTTAAGAAATGGCTGTTGTCCAGTGGTGAAGAATAGGACGACAACACAAACAACTTGGTGCCACTGCCTTGATTCACACTAAGGCACCAGTATTTGCACCCACCACTGCTTCTGCACCTCAGTGCAAATGTTAACACAACAAAAATGTCAAATAACACCTTAGTGTCATCATGAAAATAGTTTTGGCCTCAAGATGCCCCTGAAAGAGTCGAAAGAACCCTCCAGGGGTCTCAGAATCCCAGTTGAGATCCACTCCTCTAAAGAAATTCAAGAATTAAAAAAGTGAGAGTCTGAGTACAAGTCTTTGCAAATAACAGCCAACCGGTAATTAATAGATCAAACCAGTTCTATGAGACTGACTTGCACTTATTCCACAGTGTTATTTCTGGAGTGTATCTCTGAAACTGAAACCCAGCCCACGAATGTTACTCTGTTCAAATAATGGCTGCTGTTTCACACTGACCTCTGAGGTCTCTGACCCTGCAGATCTAGGAGCTTAAAATAAGGCGAGATCTGTACATGGGAGCTCACATGACCTCGTGACAGTCTCTGGCCCATCCACCCATGAATGATCTCTTCCCCTTTAGCTGTTTCTACTTGACCCAGTCAGTCAGCCCCCTTCCTCCTACATGTGCAGCTCTTTTCTTGTAAATTGTGTGCTCAGGGAGTACAGTGTGATCCAAGTACAGTGGATTCCTTTCCCTTGGGTGACCATGAAGTTTATCATCCAAACCAGAAGAGTCTGGAGAGTGAGAGTTATTAATAATTAGGCTGGACAACAGGTCTAAACTGGAACTGAACTGGGTGAGCCAGATCACATGGTCCTGACATTAACTACTTCCCTGGATCACCTGAGCACCACATGCTCTCTCTGCCTGTGTTGTTTTGCGACCACAAAGCAGCGCCCAGGCTGGGGAGTAGGGTTGGGGAGAAATAAAACAAGCCCCTCTGAAAATGAGGAAGAACAGAGAAAACTAAAAAAATAAATAAAGAGGAAGCAGATATAGCAGTCCTACTTCTGTGTGACTCCTGGCCACTGAAGGCGAGTTGAGTACAGTTTCTGAGATTATTTTTCTGCAATTCCTTCTTTGTAATAGATCAACTGTCCACTCATGTGTAGGTCTGTTTATAGGCTTTCTAGTCTATTCCAAAGCTCTATTCCATTGCTCTGTTTGTCTAGCTTTAGAGTGAAACCATACTGTCTTAATTACTTGACAGTAATTTATAACATTTAGAATAGTCTTAACATCTTATCCTTCCTTCTTAGAGCACTCCGGCTCTTGTTGGTTTTATGTCTTCTCAGACAAGTGAGCCTGACCTCCATATTAAGCATACTTACTTTAAAATCTGTGTTCAATATCTCCAATATCTGGATCCCCTCTAATTCCTTTTCTGTTGTCTGTTTCTCTTTATTACTTTTTAAATCATATTTTCTTTTCTTCTCATATGCTCGGTTTTGTGTGTCTGTTTGTGTGTTTGATCTCATGCAAAACTATAATGATAATGGGAGGTCTAACATGGTATCATCTTCCTGTAAAGGAGAACTAATATTTGTTTCTGCCAGGATGCTGGCGGGCGAACAATGTCTGGTCCCCTCAGTCCAATCAGGGAGTGAGATCCTTCGGAGCCGAGTTTTAGTTCTTGTAGGGACCCCTGTGCTTACCGTTAACCCTTCCTCCAAGGTTAACCCCTAAGGGTCTGAACCCAAACCTTTGGGTGTTTACAAGGGCCTCCTTTCCTGGTCCTCCCAGCCTCATGAGTCTGCCAAAAGCCTTGCTCAGCTTCTCAGCTGCCTCCTCCAAAACCAGCGTGGCCCCGGGAGAGAGCGGCTCAAAAGGCAGGGCTACCTCTCTGGATTTCCTAGATGTTGGCCCATACTGCTTCCCTGCCCTGTTAGCTCTCTGGCTTTTGTATTTTTATTTTAAGACTTTGTCTAACTTTTCCAGTTGTTTTCAGAAAATTATCTAGTCACTCATTACTGGAGGCAGAACTTAAATTCTAACGTTTTTCTCCTCTTTTGATTAGATCAAGAGAATAGAAGTCAGAATTTTGTATCTGCTTATATTAGCTAAAAAAAAAAAAGAGTTTACAGAATTAAATTTAAAAGAAAAACAGCCTATGCGAGGAAATCCTAATACATTTTCTCCTCAAAACTTTACCTTGGCAATGGGCCCGATGGGGGAGTCATTCCATAGTCGTCATATCTCTGGAAGAAAGTCAAGAGAAGATGAAGATTAATAGTCAATACTTATTAGGAGGTGAGAACAGCAAACTTACAAATTTAGGTTTATGGGATCAACTTTCAAGAGAATTATTTTCTCATAAAAAGTGAGCATGCTATTGGGGCATAATGCCATCGTGTACTGCCAGCAGTTTTCGCTTGGGGAACTGGCTACCAGACTTGGAAAAAAAATACACAACTAATTTCTAGACCCTTCTTGTTTTAGTAAAAATGTAAATAATAGGATTTCTGTGCCTGCTCTTCTGTATAGGCTTATTCTCTACAAACCTGTCTGTCTCTTCTGTTAAAAAGGCAGGCCGAAAAACAAACAAAAAAAGACAGGCCAGAGTGGCCACATTTTTAAAAAATATGCCCAGAAATATGTTTTTAAACATATTTTTAAACATATTAACCTTGGAGGAAGGGTTAACGGTAAGCACAGGGGTCCCTACAAGAACTAAAACTCGGCTCCGAAGGATCTCACTCCCTGATTGGACTGAGGGGACCAGACTGTTCGCCCGCCAGCATCCTGGCAGAAACAAATATTAGTTCTCCTTTACAGGAAGATGATACCATGTTAGACCTCCCATTATCAATATAGTTTTTATTGGTTTAGAGAGGAAAGGAGAGGGAAACATCGGTCACCTGGCTCCTGCATGCCCCCTACTGGGGATCCATCAAACCAGTGACCTCTCCGACATGGGACGACACTCAACCAAGCGAGCCACATCTATTACACTTGACTATCAACCTCGGCAATGACAGTCACGTGATCTAATGGGTGCCCAGTAACAATTCAAATACACTCAAACTAAACTCTGCAAATGCTGTACCAGGCTGTAAAAAGAGAAAGACTATAAAGAACTAGGATTTAGACTCTTCAAGATGAAATGAGCACTTTCAATTTTCTGGTTTCCAGGAGGCCCAGCCATACTCCTTGCTCCTAAATTCCACAAGATGCCCCCTATCCTTCAGTCAACTCTATTTCCTTGAGCTAATGTGAGCTAACCGAGTGCTCTTTGACTAAAACAACATGGCATCCACTATGCGGCATTCCCAAGAAATCAACGTATCCCAACCCTAACATACACGAGACTCCTGTGCCAGCATTTCTTTCCAACGACTGTGAATCAAAATGTTGGACTCGGATGTTTTAGCAGAACAGTAACTCTGAGAGAGTCTACTTAAGTCCAGTCCATTTGAACCAATTAGCTGTCCAGGATCAGGAGCTCCAAGTTTGGTTACTAAGTCAGCCTTGTTTCTGGACCTTCTTTAATATTAGACCTTATTTTTAAAGCTGCCATTTACTGAATTAGTATTTTGTAGTAATCACTGTATGAGCACTAGCTCAGGCCTGCAGGAAACACTAAAAAAGTGCTCACTGCCTCTGTTTTGTAGATGACACCAACTCACCGAGAAGTTAAGACATTTCCTCCAAATTTGTCTTTCTGACGCCCAAGTCCACCCTTTTAACTACAGTGCTGCACTGCCCATGGTTTCCAAACCTAATTTTCCCCCGTAATTGCACTTCTATTGTCTTGGAAACGGAGATGCACTGGAGGCAGACAGACTGGCCAAGCTGCTCAACTTCTCCAGGCCTATTCCCTTATGACACGAAGGACCGAGTGAGCTCTACCCCTTACAGATTCCGAAGGCATTATTAGACAGGAAACTGCACCCAAACTACTTCACCTTCTCACCTTTTCCACTCCCATCCCCTTGGCAGAAAGAGAGAGATTAGAATGTTGTGGAGTTCCCCAACTGAGATAAAATAGGCCAAAGATGAGTGTGGATGAAGGGAGGAATACAAGGCAAAGGAGCTTCAATTCTTTTTCTAAATAATTAGAGGGAAATCTGAGACTGGGAAGTGGCCTTTATGCTTTCAGTACAGTTCAATTTTTAAACATATTCACATAGCCCTCGCCAGTTTTGCTCAGTGGATAGAGCGTTGGCCTGAGGACTAAATGATCCCAGGTTCGATTCCGGTCAAGGGCACATGCCTGGGTTGCAGTCTCGATCCTCAGTAAGGGAGTGCAGGAGGCAGCCGATCAATGATTCTCTTTCATCATTGATGTTTTTCTCTCTCTCTCTCCCCCTCTCCCTTCCTCTCTGAAATCAATAAAAATATGTTTTAAAAAAACATATTCACATACAAAATAAAACAAAAAAAAGCAAGGCTTAGCAGTCTGTCAGGATTTCAAGAGGTCTAATAAGAGATAAACTAAAAGAAAAACAGCCGTGCTAGGCATTTCAATTCTACCGTAGTCAGAAAAGATTATTTTTCTAGAGACTGCTTGCCCCAGTGAAAAGGTTTTTTTTAAAAAAAATGCTGCAGACAGGAAGTCAGGCATTTACTTTAAATGGGTCACTCCTGGATAAAAGTTTGGGGGTCAAAATAAAATTTTAAGGTTTTGATCAGCTATGTCATCACAAATCCTATTTTAGGGCATCCCTTCTTTTATTGTTGTTTTTACAAAGTATGTCTTTTATTGATTTTAGAGAGGACGGGAGAGGGAGAGAGAAAAAAAAACATCAGTGAGAGAGAGAAAAACATCGCTTGGCTGCCTCCTGCACGCCCCCTACTGGGAATGGAGCCTGCAACCTGGGCATGTGCCCTGACCAGGAATCGAACCAGCGATCTCTTGGTGCATGGGACAATGCTCAACCAACTGAGCCACACTGGCCGGGGGCATCCCTTCTTTTGAATAACAGTCCTACAGAGAAAGAGAGGTAAGTCAAATGGTTGATGCAGTCTGGGATGAGTCTGCTTGTAAATGTTGTAGTTCAGGGATCCATACCTGCTACTTAATGACTAGTCTAGGGAGGTTAATTCTCCTAAGAAAAGCAGAAGTACCACCTATCAAGTGTCTGACTCACCAATGGATAACTAACACCTTCATGCTGGAAAAATGTCAGCAGATGGTAAAGAAAGGCTCGCGGGGTAACTGAAGGCACCTTGAAACCACACTCCTGCAGCTTTTAGTGTAGTCAGAAGCAAATAAGGGTGATCAGGTTCCCCCTGGCAACAAACAATACTTTTACAGCCAATTTATAAACAGGTTGAAATTATATTCGATATGCACAGGTAGAACCAATGATCCTCATTTTCCACTACATTCAACTGCTATCATCCTCATCTGAATACAAAAGGATAATATCCACGATGAGAAAACCATTCAGCGACAGCATCTATAAAAATGCTGCAATGAGCCCTAGCTGGTTGGCTCAGTAGATACAGCATCGGCCTGCGGACTGAAGAGCCCTAGGTTCGACTCCGGCCAAGGCTACATGCCCAGGTTGTGGGCTCAATCCCCAGTGAGGGGCATGCAGGAGGCAGCCCATCAATGATTCTCTCTCATCATTGATGTTCCTATCCCTCTCTCCCTTTCCCTTCCTCTCTAGAGTCAATAAAAATATACTTAAAAGGAAGAATTACTCAGTAAACTGAGCATTGGAATTCAACTGAACTACAACAACAAAAATATCGCGATGGGTCTGAATTCTTTGAGGTAGTAGATTAAGGCCTTATCTGGTCATTGTCCAATAAGATACGAAGAACACAAAGGTGAATTTATCCACATTCTAGCAAATCGAAGTGATTTGCTTAGAAAAGACCTTCGTGTGTTAACGGCAAAGAAGACAAAAAGGAAACAGCACGCAACTCTGGAGCCAATAAACAAGTGAACGAACACAAGTTTCAAAAAATGAACATACAGAAAAGTCAGAGAATCCAGACTGGAAGAAAATATAATATATTTTCCACAACTAATTTGAACTATAAAAATGGCAGATTTTTTTTTTAATCCTCACCCAAGGATATGTTTGATTTTAGAGAGCGTAAGGGAGGGAGAGAGAAACATTGATGTGAGAGAGAAACATCAATCGGTTGCCTCCCATGTGCACCCCATCTGGGGATCAAACCCGCAACCTCTTTGATGTGCAGGATGATGCTCCAATCAAACGATCCACTCGGCTGGGTGGCAATTTTTTTTTTTTTTATGTTCAACAATGAGGTGATAAAACATCAACATGACCTGCAATGAGATACCGTAGACGGTGGAAATAATTTGAGGACCAAAATAATGTCATTGTGACCCTAAGAAATCAACTAGAAGGGAAAAGAATAGCATGGCTTAACATCAAATTAATGTCCCAGAGAAAAGACCCGTGATGACCATAATGAAGGCAGAAAGGCAGAGAAAAAATGGACAGGTTGGCTAAAGCAATTAGAAATAAAGCGGTAGCTGGAGAAGACAGACATGGGCCAGCAAAGATAAATGTTATCCTTGATGCCAATAAAGTAAGAACATTATTTCAGAAATACAGTTTTCCTGAATTGAATGAAAGAGCAGAATCTGAAGATAAATTGAACATTGGTTATTCAGGGGGGAAATGGAAACTTATTAAGTGCCAAGAGCTCTTCACAGAACAATTCAGGAAGCACTGAGAGCAGAGAGAGGTGACATGTAGAGGCCCACAGGAAACTAGTTCAGGTCAGAAAGTGAGCACTCAAAACACTAATTCCAAAGAGCATGTGCACCCGTTTTCCTTGCAGTGTTATTTACAATAGCCAAGCTATGGGAGCAACTCAAGTGCCCATCAATAAACAAATGGATAAAAAAAAATGTGGCACATATAGACAATGGAATATCACTTCACCATAAAAAAGAATGAAATCTTACCATTTACAACAGCATAGGACCGCGAGAGTATTATGCTAAGTAAGAATGAAATCTTACCATTTACAACAGCATAGAAGGACCGTGAGAGTATTATGCTAAGTGAAGTCAGAGAAAGGCAAATACCATATGATTTCACTTACATGTGGAATCCAAAGAACATCAACAAAGAAAACAGAAACAGACTCACAGATAGAGAACAGACTGACGGTTGCCAGAGAGGAGGGGGCTGGGAAAACGGTGAAGGGATTGAGAAGTACAGATCGGCAGTTACAAACTGGGCATGGGGAAGTGAGGTACAGCGTAGGAACATAGTTAATAATATTACGATAACGATGGATGGTACCACTTGGGTACTGAAAACATAAGGGGGAAGACTCAGTAAAGTATTTGATTGTCTAACACTATGCTGTACAACTGAAACTATTACAAAATAATATTGAATGTAAACTGTAATTGAAAAAAATCAAAAAGAAAAAGAAAGTGAGAACTCAAGACTAAGTTAAGAGGCTCCTGATAGATCTTCCTCTTCATTCCAAGACCTCCTGACACCCAGAGGATCCATCCTGTGTTAGCCTCTCGGCTCGCTGGCCTGACCAACACCAATAAACAGTATGTACTTGTCAGCCACCACCCGGCATCCTCCACTCAAGACCAGAGGCCAGGAGACAATTGGGAAGTTCTTGCAATGATCATGGTGAGAGACGACGGTGGCTCCAACTGGTGTTTAGTGTAGTGGAAGGAATTTGAGAGGAAGAATCTACAGAGCTCCAGACTGGAGAATTCTAGAAGGTCCATACTTACGCTGCATGGGTTGTTGGCCATCTGAGCTGGGCTGTAGAAGGAGCCCCATTGGGCAGCTCGTCTATCTTCCCGGGAAGGGGTGCTGTTCACGGGCAGGCCCGCTGGGACCCCGGGGCCTGCAGCAGCGTTGGCGGGCTGGCTGCTGGGGGCCACGAGGGCGAAAGCGTCG